TAAATAATTCATTTCATAATTTCCACGCATTCTTCACATTTTAATTCTTTTGTATGTATTTTTTCTTTTATTGTTTCTCCCACAATGGCTCTTCAAAGTAACCAAAACAATAAATGAAAGTTATTACAAATAAGCTTATTACAAAATTTGAATTGTAAAATTTAAAATAAAAATTAAAAAAAATAAGAATAATACAAATTAACATAGGAAAATGTAGCTTTAAAAGAATTTTTCTACGAGTCGGTAGTTTACAAAAACACTTAATAGTAAAAGTATGTCCCAAGATATTTGATGCCATTGAAAATTATACTTAGTTTCATGATTTAATTCGACTTTTTTTTTCTTCCTATTTTTTATTAGAAAACAGTATGCTACAAATTAGTTTTATTATTTATGAAACCAATATTTGAGTATAATAAAGCAAAAGCATTTCTATAAAAAAATCAATTTTCGTTTACAAGCATAATGTGTATTTTTTTTAAATTAAGCACTCGAACGTTTAGACAATTTAAATGTTTTTTTTTTCGCATTTTATAATTTTTTATAGTTTACATATTTTATCTGTTTGTCTTTAAGGAACATAAGGATCTATTTAAAAAAAAACATCATAAAATACTTAGAACTAGTGTTTTCATACTTTCGCTATAAAATCTGATGAAAATAAATTTTCCATTGTCTTAGTACGTGATTATGAAACTAAATTTATTTTTGTCTTAATTTTTTTTCTCAAAATAATTCTTTTTTTCTGATGACTTTTAAGAGAACTGTCAATAACTTAGTCTTAACTTTAGAAATTAATAATAGTGATATTGAAAAAAAAAAAAAAAAAAAAAAAAAAAAAAAAAAAAAAAAAAAAAAAAAAAAAAANAAAAAAAAAAGAAGAAATAATTATGCGAAGTAATTACCGCTACAATGCAAAAATGCAAAAGCAGAAAAATCATTTTAACAATGAATTATAATATTGATACTTTGAACCATATTATAGTACAAATTTGCTGTAATTTTATTAAGATTTTGAATCAAACCAAGTTTTCTTCAAAATAAACCATAGTATAGTGAAACTTAGTTTATGAAGTGCTGTAATGCTGCCAAAATTAGCACCGCATTATCTGTGAAATATATTTAAGTATTATTACGGTTTAAAACATTTTAAAAATTATAGCAGAGAAGCTCAATTTGTTAATATTTAATATTAAAACAGGTTTTTTTAATTCAAGATAAATCATAGTAACATGTAACTTGATTTATGAAGTACTGTAACAATGTTTAAAGTAGCAACGCATTAAGTATGTAGCAAGTTTAAACGGTATTATGGTTTAAAAAAATTTCAAAATGGACAAGCTCATTTGTTTAAATTACTTTTCTTCGTTTTTTTTTTTTAAATTTTCATTTGTCTTCTTAGTGATTATTATTAGGAATGCCATGCACTGTGTTTATGCAACTAAGAAATCTGTAATATTTTCTTTCCAGAGTGTAATCTAAGCTTATCAAAAAGAAATAAACGTTATACTAATGAAAATACTTTTGATTAACTATTTTAGTTATGTTGATCAGAATAATGTTTTTTTGTCTTATAAATGTCATTATCATACAGTTAGGTAATTTTACTGGAATTTTTTCCTCTGGGCACCCTCTCTTAAAATAGGAATGGTTGAATTATTGCAAATGGTAGAAGTAAAAAATGTGTAACGTGAAAAATGAATTAAAGAAAAGCGTAAAGTAAAGTGAAGCGTAAAGTAAAGTAAAGTAAAAACTAAAGCGAAGAAAGTATGATTAAAGCAAAGTAGAGCATAAATTATTATGTAAGGTAAATCATGAAGTAGTAATTAAAATAAAGTGTAAATTATAAAGTAAAAGTAAAGCATGAAGTATTAAGAAAATTAAAGCGCAAAGTAAAGCATAAAATATAAAGTTATGTGTGAAAAAAAGTAAAGTGGAGAGTGAAGAAATATGTAAAGCATCAAATATAAAGTGTAAAGTAAAACGCAAAGTAGTAAATAAAGTAGAAAGGGAAGAAATGTCAAACGTCAGGTAAATTAAAACGCAATGTATAAGGTAAAGTACACTCTTAGAAATTTCTCGGAAAAAATGGTTAAATAACAATATTAATAATGGTTAATATTGAATGGTTATTTTCCCATATTTAATCAAAACAGCCAAATAACCATAAATAAAATGGTAATCAAACTGTTAAGTATGAGAAAAACTGTTTATTAACTGCTTTCACATAATACTGTTAAACAACCAGAATCTTATCCCACCAACTAGAACCACCTAATGAATCTACTTAGTTCTTTTCAACTGCATACATATCATAGCCGAGTGGGCTTATCTGTCAATCTCATAACCGGCAATGCAGCAGTTCGAGTCCTAATATTGACACCACAACATTTCCTCCATTCCTATCCAGTGTCCGGCACTCTCCAATGCCCATTACCTTACGAAAAGCAGAGCTCCTATGTTTAGTTAAATAATAATTTTTTTTAACGTTTTTGAAAAATGCTAGTTGAAAATATAGTTAGAAAACCATATAGTTTTGTATTCATGGTTTTATAACCACACTTTTCGTAAATGGTTTCAAAACCATAAGGGGAAAAAATGCTCTTTACCGTGAACTTTACGTTTAAACGGATTAGCAGACAGCTGCCAGTTATTTCACCATAATTTTAGAATGAAAGTTTTAACAGTGTATAAAGATAAATTGTAAAGTATAAATTTCAGTGCAGAGCATAAAATAAAATTCAAAGTGAAGCACAAAATAAGCTAAAGTAAAATAAAAAGCAAAGTAAATGAATATTTTTTTAGAAATCAAAGAAAGAAAGAAATAATTGTTCAAATCAAAAGAAAGGGAAATATTTGTTCAATCCAAAGAAAAAGATAAATTTGTTCAATACAATTAAAGTATTCTTCGTTTTTTCCAACCCATCCCCATTGTAAAAGAAATGTACACCGCGAAAAATTTAAAAAAAACAGACCTCCATGAATAACTTTTGATCTAATGTTCTAATCTTCCCCATCTAGAACTCATTCTTAATGGTTCAAAGGGGGGAGGGGAATTAAATATGATATTTAGTTAATGCGGATGATTTTTTGAGTTACGAAATCAGACAAAAAGTCGTTATTTCTCTGAATAAACATACCTATTTTTCAAAGGATTCAGGTTTCTGAGCCCCAAAATTTAAGGGGTTGCCGCAACCTGTGAAATATGGTCACCATAGTAGATCACCATAGTGGGTCAGGAGAGGATCCAAAGTTTGAGCCTTTTAATGTTATTTTTACTATTTGCATATTTCGTAATATCTTAAAAATTTTTTAAGCGAAATGAAAATTTTTTGCTCGCAATTGCAAAATTCATTTATCAAAGATGATTCCATGCAAAAAATATAGTTAAATAAATATATATTGCTTTTATTATATTAATTAACAATAGTCCAAAATTTTTGAACCGTAAGATATACACTGTTTTACTCCAAACTAAAGTGTTTAATTTTACATGGAAAAATTCAAAATTTGAGCGAAATCGATTGAATAGGTCCTAAGAAACTGATTTTTTTCGACTTTTTTAATATTCGATTTCTCAGAAATTATTCAAACGATTTTACTCAATTTTTGTATTTTGACATATCAATTTACATACTTAGAAATGATGTGAAGATTTGCATACTTTGCAATTCGAGATTTCAACGATTATTATTAAATAAAATAATAAAAAATAATCGATATTTACTAAAATTTATGTTTTGCATGGAAATATCTTTGGATAAACGAATGTTATAATTGTGTGCAAAAATATTTCAAGTCGCTTAAGAAATTCGCAAAATATAGCTAAATACGCAAAATAAGTAAATAAAACTCACATCCAAATTTTGAATTGCTCTGCTAATCAAACTCTGAGGGCCATATTTCCCAGATTGCGGAACTCCCCTTATTGGGGAAGGGGGAGTCCGAAGCTCGAATTCGCTGAAAGAAAGGTATGTTTATTCAGAGAAAGTACATTTTTGTGTCTGATTTCGTAACTAAAAATATTAGCTGCACTAATTAATTAGCTTATTTCTGGTTACCCCTTTGAGCCATTAATATTGATTCCTAGAGAGTGAAATTCCGATCATTCGATCAAAAGTCATTCAGGGTTGTCCGTTTTTTATTTTTCGCACTTAACATAAAAAAGCATATGCTGATCATGTTTTACGTGTTATAATAAAGGGGGAAGTAAGTGAAGGTATATGAAGAGAATCAAAGCATTATTAAAATAACTTTTAAATCCATTATTAGATATTAACATTAATGCTAAATATAAGGATCAGGCCTGAGTTTGGGGTGATCTACCATATTCAACGGGCTTTACATCTACCGTTTACGTTAACCTGTATCAGCAATATAGTAACTCTGAGAGAAATGTGTAGCTTATAAGAAAAATTATTTCATACTTATTGCTTCTTATTGCATCACACATTCTAAATTCTCAAGTTAAGAAATATTTATTTCAAGTTCAGGGAGTTGAGTTTTTTGAAATAATCCAAGTAATCACTTTCTTACGATAAAAATTTTAAGAAAATCTTATTTTATTAGATATTTTATTAGATATTTTATAGACCAAATGACTTTTTTTGTAATAAATGGAAATTTTCTAGGAAAAATATAAAAAAGTTGAATGAGAGGGCACCACAAGGGTTGCTGGAGAGTGGAGCGAACACGGGCGGAGGCTTCTTAGTCATTTAAAAAAATATTGCAAAAAAAATAACGAGATAAGTAGAGATGAATAATCTGTCTGAATATTTGTAAAAATAATTTTAAAAAAATAACGAGATAAGTAGAGATGAATAATCTGAATATTTGTAAAAATAATTTTAAAAAAATAACGAGATAAGTAAAGATGAATAATCTGAATATTTGTAAAAATAATTTAAAAAAAATAACGAGATAAGTAGAGATGAATAATCTGAATATTTGTAAAAATAATTTTAATCTCTTTTAAGAAATCAACAATTCAAAATACTCACTTGTACTCTAGCATTATAGTTGTTGTTGGACTTCTTTGAATCTCCTGTAGACAACGGAGTTGAACCATTCTTTTTGCCAGGAGTCTTTGGAATCTCGTTTGTGAACAGAATTTTAGCGATGAGACTATACAGAATGACCGACAAAAGCAGTGGGAAAGCGTAAAAAAGAACCATATCTGCCATAAAATAGCCGACATAAAGATTTCTGGATAAAGCGAATGTACACGTTTCTAAATCCTCATAACCCTTGTAATATATGGGTGCTGTCTTGGTGAGGAAGAGCCAAGGACTACAATAGATGGAGGCAAATATCCATACCCCGATGATGATCTTTTTGGCTCGATTCACGGTGCAAATGAATTGAGCTTTCATCGGATGACATATGGCAATGTAACGCTCAATGGTAAATGCCGTTATTGACAGAGATGAGGCATTGATTCCAAGATACTGCAGAAAGATAAAAATGGCACAGCCCCATCTGCCCCAAATCCATTCATCACCTAAAATAAAAAGAAAATTTATTAGAATTTAAATGAAATTTGACGAGTGTCGAGAATGTGTAAAGCGTGTATTTTAAGGTTAAAAAATAAATTTAAGGAATTTGAAGATTTCATAGCCTATTACTAAATTTAACGCAAAGAGGAGACAATATCAGCTTTAACGGCAGCAAGAAAGAAGGTAAGGAGGGTTAGCAAATAGAAGAGCATGATTGTACAGTGCGTAATAAAAAAAGGACCACTCTGAATAACTTTTGATCCAATGATCGGATCTTCATGATATAAAACTCAAGCTTAATGGTTCGATGGAGTCATCTCAAATCATACACTAAACAAAGACACAATCAAGCAGAAGTTACGAAATCATTCTCCAATATTTACTTTCTCTGAAGAAACCCACTTTTTTTCGGCAGATTAGGATTTTTGATACCCAAAATATAGTTGTGATGCTGAATTCAGGACCCTAGGTGCAAGTTTATGTGAAAATGACATCATCAACCGGATATTTAATCTATATAAATAAGCATCGAATTGTTCATTTAATCTGTCATGCTTAAAATAGCGATTTTGTTTATAGCAATATCGCACTTAGGAGACGTTGCACAAGCTCAGGTGTAGACGGTATTTGCTACGTAGCATCTAAACTAGCGTTGATCATTAAAGGATATTAGCAGAATCTGTCATGGTTGAAAGATCTTCAATTATAGAGATACTGAATTTTGTACTTTAGTTACACGTTTAGATGTAAACGACGTTATCTATCCGAGATTAAATCCGTTGAAATGCTTAAAAAAGTGTTGTACAATCTGACGTGGTTGAAAATTCTAGGTTTAAGCTATGTCGAACTTTGGATATAAGCAAAAGCTCAGGTGCAGATGGTATCGTTTACGAGATAAAGCCCGAATAAAAAAATTACGATCATAACTGAGTACCAGAGCATCTTATTTTAATAGTTTATTAGATTATAGAATATAATGACGCTTAAAGACTTAAGATACTAAGTTCAGTTTGACAATTATAATTTTAAAAAATAGAGCAAGCTTTAATTAAACTGGTTTGAATACGAAAATGCTAATTTAGATGCAAATTCTGAAAATATTGATAGAAAATGGCGCAGAAGTATAAATATGCACTTTAAAAAATTCCGGATCAAATTACGGAATTAAGTGCCGACACTTTAGATGCATCATCCATAAAATCCATTTTACCATAAAATATCCGTATTTCTACATTAATAAATAATATATGATTCACATATATTATTACATATGATTCGTATATATTATTATGTATGATTCGTTTATAATGTAATATTGATATTAATAATATATGATCCGTAATTTCTACATTGATAACTTTTTAATGATAGGAATTTTACGATAATTATTAGTGTAAAAATTACGGTATATCAGATTATTTTGTTCCGTAGCATGTTCTGGTAAAGTGGATTTTGGAGCTTGCTCTCAGTGTGCCGATAATTTTAACCAGAATTCGATCTGGAATTTTTCATATCGTAGGTTGTAGCAATGATATCAAAAAATATTTTTTCCCAATGTATTGTTTGAAATATTTATCCACACATTAAATAAAAAATGAGGTCCTTTGATTATTTAAAATATGACTTATTGAATTACGTGACAAACGAAAGCATAATTTTAAGTTCAGGATATTATCTACTAATATATCTAATTATATCTGCAAGAATAATACAACATAATGCGATACAACTGCAATAATTGGAACACATAATATATTAATTATGTTGTCAAAATAATTTTTTACAAGCTGAGACCATCATAAGCATGTTTTAAAAGTAGCAGTATTTTTAGAATGTCTTTCTTTCTTTCTTTATTTTTTTATTTTCTAGAAAAAAAAATCAGTTAGAATTGATTTAATATCTAATTACAGATGATCTTTAACTTCATACCATTTCCTGATGATGGTTTTCATCAAGTATTTTTTTTTTGTTGCTTTGTATTCTGTTTTAAAGCCTTAATGAGGTAGTTGTAAAATATTCTCTCTTACATTTGATATGAGGAATGATTACGACAACTGTATTCGATATTAAGAAACTTGTGAAACAAAATAGTTTTGTGAAACAAAATAGTTAGTGATATTTTTACCTAATACCTGCATGATACCATGTAACACTTTTATTAAAAAAGAGTTTTTGTCTTAGTCATTAAAACTAATTAGTTTCAGAAAGTTTTGTAATAAGTCAAATTTTATTTAAAAATACGTGTGAGTATTATTTTGTTAGAAGTAAACGGGAATAGGAAGTAAAGTATTTCACTAATTAATGTTAATTATCGTTGTAAAGCATTCATTCTGACAAGATATGGAGAAAAAAAAATTTAAATCGGAATCGAGTCCCAAATTTTTAAAACAAGTTTCTCGTATTTATTTTCTGTATCCCTATCTATTTCAGGCGCATACAATTCAAATAAAATTTACTACTAAGTTAACGTCACGAAGGTATCAAGCAAATGAAGTTGTTATTTTTAAACCATTTTTTTTTTTAGTTTCATATTTAGTGATATTTAATTAGAGTATCAGTTAAGTATAGTAAACAAATTTTATTTGCACTTAAAATCTTGTAAGTAAATTTGTAACTATTTCTTTGTTTACACATGCCAACTTATTTTTATAACATTCCTTAATGAACTTCAATATTTTTTCAAAATTAAGTATTGATTTCTTTAAAATTAATATTTAGTGTGATTTCAATGATATTTCAGGGTCAGTTTCTCAAAGATAGCTTTACAAATATTTGCATTTATTAGTTAGTTAATACAAATAAAATGAGTCAGTACCTTCATTCTGGAGATATATCCTTAAAATAAGCCCTTTAGCTTCTGACTTAGGCAAAATGAGTCGATACTTTTAATTTATTGTTTGAAGCATAGTGTAAAGCTTATAAAAGTGCTGACTGTAAGCATTTCGAAAAAAAAACATAATTCTGGAACTTTACGACATAAAATTTCTGTTCTCTAAAGTCACAGAAATTTACTGCTAAATTACATCATAATCTGTCAAAAGAAACATTCAGGTGATACCAAATATGCTAATACGTGTATGCAATACGTGAAAAATATGCCAATAAGTTTTACATTGGTATATGGGTGATTCTCACAAAATATAACAATTTACAGTCCCTTGCTCCAAGATCTAATATGATACTACTAGAAGAACTTTTTTTAAATTTTTTTTTAATAAATAGCATTAGTGTTAGCATCTTAAAATGACTTTGCATTAGTATTGACTGTTTGTATATTTTAAAAATTCAACTGAATTTCAAAATGTCATTTTCCTGGTATATTTCCAATAATAACTAGCTTCAAAACTTCCCCTAAATTTTTCAATATCTAATTCTTATGCTTGATGCAATATGCTTGAATGTAATATGCTTCAAAGTCATTTGCTTAATGATTGATTATTATACACAATTTTATTCTGTACTTGTCAGCAACAAAAATTTTTTTGATTCTTTCTACAGAGGATAAAAAGAATTAATTTAAGCAATTTATGGTCCATCTAACATAAAGGCTTAAGTTGAGTTACTTACTGTTAGCTTAAAATCACCGTTTTTTAAACTTCTAAGCTAATGCGTCATTTTCAAGGCATTCAAAATTTGGTGAATTTCTATTTAATTTTTTTTCTAGAGGAAATGTCAATAAATTGCACTGCTGTCTATAAGATATTAATAAATGTAACTAAATAAATACACAAAAAAAAATTAGATTATTTTGAAGATTTTAAATTTGAAGAAATTTTTTGTTCCGAATTTTCATGTTTCCGAAGAGTCACCCATTTATTCTGCTAAAAAAAATCTGTAACTATTGATACAGATTATTTCTGTTGAGAACACATTTTTTTCTGTTTTGAATATGAAAACCTTTGACGTCATAGGTACATAAAAGCGGCAAAATTGCGGGAAATCATACTACAAATAGAATAATTGAAGAACTTATCAAATTTTAAGGATCTATTTCACTATGCAAACCAGAGAATGCCAGAGAATACCTGCATGCCAAATTCTCTGGCAGTGGATCGAACACTGACTGACAGTGAATATATGAGGCATACCGATATTTTCTGTAGTATTTTGTTACAGGAAGTTTTTCTCAGCGTGTTTTTTTCCGCACTATATGTATAATATCTGGCAATTTTGCTGCCAGAAATTTTCCGTTATAGAATTTTTTTTTTTACAGTGTTGTTAAGATATTTTTGTTGAGATAACTTGATGCAGCTAATTTGTGTTATTTTGATTTATATGTATGACTAATGCACGTCTCAGGAAGAGCTTTATTATTTTTATTTTTTATTTTTTTTCTGTACTCGAGCTTTTAGCTAAGAGTCTTCGTAAATAATATGCATATAATAGCTGATGTAATAAGACTTCATTACATCATAATTTTCAGAATATTTGTCAGTGAAATTCAAAGTTAAATTTAACTAATGTTTACACTGTTTTTGTTTTAATTATTTTATATCTCATTGTATTTTTGAGTGAATTATTTTAGATTAATATTATTATATTAGAGTATATTTTTTGAATATTGCTATTAATAAAATGAATTAATAATATTAAATTAAAAATATATAAACATTGTGTTATTTATATTGTAGTATTAATATACTTGATAAAACCTTAGTTGGTCTCAGGACGAAATACTTTATTTTTATTTTTTATTTTCTGAGCTAGAGCTTTTAGCAGAGAACTCTCACTAATAATATGCTTACAAAAGCAGATAAAAGATATATTAAGATAAAAAAGTTGTAAAGATGTAATACGATTTCACTACATAATAGATTTATACACATTCATTACATACATCTTCATTTCATATAGAATATTTTTTATGAAGTTTCTTTCTTTCGTTTCGTTTCTTTAAATATTTTATATTATATTTAATTTTTGAATTAATTATTTTATCTTAATATCATAATACTATTGTACATTATATTAATAGTATATTTTAATATTTTAATATTAAAATATGCTATTAGCATATCTTTATTAGTAATATAAAAATTAAAAAAGAATAAATATTATGTTATAATTAGTATTAATATACTCATATCAATAATACATGTTGTTTCATTGGATAGTAAGGCTAAATTTGAAAAGGATGGATATAAACTTGCGCTTTTTTATGCAAGATAAATAGTGTTAGAAAATTAAATGACGGGTGCCGTAAATTATCTAAAGTTCAATTTTTCGCTTGCATCGCAATGAGGTCAAGAGGGTTCGAATCCCAGTGATGGCTTTTTGATGGCTTTTCGATGGCCCAGTGACGGCTTTTCGAATCCCAGTTGATACGAATTTTGAACCGATCTCGCACCGATCCCCGAAGTGACATAAAATATCCTCAGTGGTAGACGGATCGTGGGTGAGAATCTCTTTACCGTCTGGCTTAGCATGGGAGGCTTTCGTGGTTTTCTTCTCCATGTAATGTAAACGCAGTTTAGTTTCATCAAAAAGTCTTCCATGAAAGCAAATTTCTCCAAATACTTGATCCAAGAGTTTATTTGTCTTCTTAATTGCATTTAAAATTACTCGACAACGGTGCTGGACGTTGGCGATTGTCAACCCTAAATTGGGTCTGCTGTTCAACGACGCTTATAAAAAAATATAATTTTTTTCTTTTTTTAAAAAATTGAAGCCATATTCTAAGCTCAGTGTTTTGTTAAAACTCTCCAGAATGACAAAATAACTTATTTAAAATTTGCGAAAAATTACATTAAGTCAAAGAGAGCTCTTAATTATTCACAAATTATCATCCTCCTTTTTTTTTAAGAAAATTAAACCATTTCTAAAGATTATGCTAATAGGATTATTCAGTAAAAATAACGTATCAGCCGCAACGAATATCTTCAACTTAATTAGCCTTTATGCTTTTTATGATATTTAACGTTGCTAAGAAAAGTAAGAAAAAAATATCATAATGAGTTCAGGAAAAAAAAATATTCTGTTTCCATGACATGATTTTTTTTCTCGTTTTTGATTTTTAATTGTAAAAACCCAACGAGATATGAGATTTATAGATTTTGCCCGTATAATATGTTTTTTTTTAAAGAGAAATTATGATTAAATATCTAGAAATATCAAATTTTATTTAGACAAAAATAAAATACCTACACAGAGATAATAACGTTTTTTTAATTTTTTATCGAAACTCAAATTATATTTCATAATTTTTTAAGTTGCATCAGTTGTAGGAATTACTGTTTGCAATTCATGCATTAATCTTCTACTAGCATAACTGGATATCAAAGTCTTAAACAAGAAAACTGAATTTAAAACATGTTTTAATTGTTATTTTATTATCTATTATTCGTTTGAAATACTACATACTTTCGACATTGAATTATATCTGATTCAATCCTAGATTTCGAAATTGCACCCAATTTAATTTTTGAAATATCTACAAATAGTATAAACCAATCTTCACCAACTAATTGTTTTTAATAATCTATTTAAACAAATTAGCATGTATCTACAGAGAGCCAAAATAAATGGACCACCCTGAATAACTTTTGATCTAATGATCGGATCTTCTCGTTCTAAGACTCATTCTTAATGGTTTAAGGAGGTGACTTCAGATATGCTAATTAATAAGTGCAGGCGATATTTTAAGTTAAGAAATCACAGCCACAAAAAAGTATGTATTAGACACAAAAATAAACATAAATTTTTTTCAAAGAATTCTGACGTTCAAATTATGGAGAAATTACGTCTTTGTGTCTGATTTCATAATTTAAAATATCACCTGCATTAATTAACTAGCCTTCCCCTCTTCAAGCCATTAAAATTGGAACTAGAACGTGAAAATCCGATTATTAGATCAAAAGTTACCCAGGGTGGTCCGTTTTTTACTGGTGCTGTGTATATTTATAATAATAACAATTTAAGATAGATATGTGATAAACGCCAAACTATGATACTTTGTTTACTCAATAACCATATCAACAGTGTTACTTAAACATTTAATATATGAATGCTAACTAATCAAGCTCAATTATTTAAATTTTTTTCTAACATAAAATAAATTGCTATAATATATTGGTTTTACATGTAAATACGATTAATTAAAGAAATTAGAGAGGGAAAATCCATTATAAAAATTAATTTA